GGGGGGGTGGTAGGGTCGGTCAGGAACGAATGATCATTTACATTACAGTACGCAGCTATAGCTGCAACTTCCAGACCGTAGATGAGATGGAGAAATGGAGTACAGGAGCTGGAATGATCTGTCAAATAGTCTGGTCTCGCCTCATTTACCAACTTGGGCTCAGCTTTGTACTGGCTACGCCCATCCGCTACTATGTCCTGCATAGCATTCTGTGAATATTATGCATTTTGCAGATCTGATCTGATCTGCTTGTCGTATGTCGTTACCTCTAGAACTGCACAAGAAACCTAGCTAGCATTGGCATACCCGTGTGCCGAATTTCCGGCTTTGTCCTATGACTCCTCACGGAACGAGGGCACCATGGCCAACTGGTGCGATTAAGTGGCCACGAGAGCATCTTCGTTGCACTCTTCATCACTGCAGCTTGTGTATATACGTATACGCCGATGATTTTGTCCTCTTTTCCTTTTCAAATCTCACATTACACTGTGGAGTCGGGTAGTTTATTTGATAGTTGTGGCGCACTCGGTGGAGTTTATAAATAAATAAATGAAATAAATATGGCATTCTCATTGCAGATCTTGCTTTCTTGGCAGCACAAGCGAAAGAAATGGGCTAAGAGATCAGAAACTTTGCTGCAAGTCCAGATTATCTCGTGAAAACGATATGAACACATTACCTTACGCAGTAGAATAATTTTCCACGGTCTTCTTTATTTTTTTGGGGAACAAAGAACTCCTACTTCGTTAAAAATGAAAATAAGAGGAAGTTGGCAGGAGCAAATGAGGCTCGATTTGAAGAGGCTAATATGGGTTTAAAAAATAATCTATACCTTGAAAATTCGTTTCACTAGCCACTTTCCCCAAATGTACGGCCGAAAATCGGATCGATTCGGATCCATTCTATACATAAGCGTTTGTCCGTTCTCAACAGTAATCGTACCGTCGAAAAAGATCAATATCCTTAAGTAATTACCCTGAGCGCTGCCATCTCAAGCTCATCAACGGACACAATCAGGAGCAAACATACTTCCTGTTGCTTCTTGGTGTAATCACCTCGTTCTCTTCCGCATGTCTGAGGTTATCTTCGCTCAGCAGTCCTTTCATCCGAAGGACGTCATAGCCAAGTGTCACTAGCAGAGGGCAACGGTCGAAAACGCTCTTAATAACACATTTCCATTCGAGAATAAGGGAACTACCTACAGAGCTGATCTGATGATGTTCCAAAGGAGAGAGGCGCTAATATGACTTATTGATTGAACAATATCATTTTAGCCCACTTAAAGGAATGAAACGGAAGGGGTTGGGTAGGGGGAGTGAGGTGCCGGAACTTTTCCCCGAATTCCCACGGCAAGCGGCAAAGGTCACGCGGCGGCTCCCCTTTCCTCGCACTGGGGATTCAAACCTTTTCCTTCACAGCGCGCGATCGGATGCGGCGAACGCGACGCCGTTTTCGGGAAGAAGATACCGGACCCGAGGAATGGCGGACTGCCATACGCATGGGGGATCAAAGCCCGGCTTGCAAGCTTAGGCTAGCCTAATCATTCGCCTTTCTAGGGTGTGTACTGGTGCTCGCCCACATGATTCACTCTAGTTCTCCTCGAGGTATTCAAACGGTTTTATGTTTGATCGCTCATGCTTGCTTCGTGAAGTACTATTGCTTCCCACCGAATACCTGAATTAGTCTAAGCGTTGCGTTCACTCCGAGTCCATTGAGCTGTTCCGTTTCGGATGAGCGAAACCAGTCCAACGTCTGCTGGTCTTTATGAACACCGGCTCGACGATTGTTCCACATTTTGTCGGAGTCATCCTAAATACTTTTTGCGTTATTCTGTGCTTTACAATTTGAAGACTCAGTTCACGATAACTTTGAGGTCCCATTTTATTCAGAAAGCTTAAGTTCATGTAGGTTAGGAATAGTTCATCGGTAGTGAAGAAAGCGAGAAATTTCGCCGACTTCGAGAAAACTCCTCAAATGTAAGGAAAATAGAGGAGTTTGTTTGCATTGCAAGTTGTTTGAACTTCCTACATGGGTCCCCTTGTGATCGGTGCAGCCTCTGCAATGCCTTTGAAACTCGCCCGAGGTTACACACGGTGCAATCTTCGACCCTTTATAATACTCTAACTAGGCCGTTTTCCAACCTAATAGCGCCAGATATGTCACACAAGGGGACCTCGAATTCACCCTACTGGGAAATCTCAGTAACCACTTTCATCGTAAACTGTGCCTTCATATACCACATTGCTGGGCTTAGCAAACCATCTCCGACTTCGCGCCCCGTGGGAAAGCTAATGGTATGCAGTGACTCACAAACAGTCACTATGGAATCACTCGGTGGAAATCGATGCTAGCAAACCTCGATATCGCCGAAAACTTCCTCCAAAACATCCTCAAAAGTGATGAGACCCACGATACGGTACCTTCCATAGCAAAACTTCATCACTGCACAAAGATGATTTTCTCCTGAAATAAGCTTTTTTGAAATGATGCGAAATTTTCAGGCAGGATAGAAACCTTTCATCATTTCCTGCATCACAGCTTCTCCTTTCTGAGCAGCCAGCACGAATCGCAGCTTAAACAATTTACTTTTAGAGGGATTTCTTACTGAGGTCACTTTATAGATAAATCGTTGGTGAATGAATTTACGCACCTGCTTTCTAGAGTCATCAATCTTGCTCATGAACTCATTGACCGTCGATTTGTGATCAATTGTCATCGTTGCAAGATCCTGTGTAAGTCAAAATGAAAAATACATAGAAGCAGATGTAAAGTATTGACATGATACATATTTGTAAAATTTCCAGTCAGAGATGACGAAAAGCCTGAGATCGAACCATCATGTTTTTTACAATGAGGATATAAAAAGGTGGTATGTATGTAGGCGAAATATTATGATTTATGTGTGTTGTTCTCCAACTGCATCCAACAATTGTTTCTTGACAATAGGCTGTATGCCTAGTGATTCTGTGAATCAACTACTGAAACAAGCCCTAGGGATTGAGCTTTTGGAGGCCAAGTAATCGAGAAACATTTTTGAGGGCACAGTCCAGGATCAGAGCAGTACTACAAACAATGTACATTGAATTGTACTCTACAAACAACAATGCAACAGAGCATTCACTAAGGAATATTCGGTCCCTGGAGATCCGACATATGTATGGCGCCTCGAGAGAGGTCTGGAAATCTCACCATAAGATCCTAAAACTCAATATCACCGTTTACCTCAGCATCATCATTTGTCCTATGAAACTGACCAAGGATAGTGGGCGGAGTGAGGTAAGCGCCTAATGGTGCCGATGCTACATGTGGGGTCCGAGCAGTGAAATTCGAATCGACACCCGTTCTAGATCGGCATTACCTCCATCCGTCAGAGTACATGGTGCACGTCATGCAAGAAACAAGTGATACATCGGCTGACTCCCTGAGGCCTGCGATTTGAGCAAAAAAACGCATTTACACGCCACCGCAGCTTCAGAAGGCACATCCGCATGCTAGAACGGAATAGACAGACAGAAAGAATCTATCCACATACTTCAAGAAAACTAGTAGCGGCCAGGCAGTCCGTTCCGAAAAACTTACCATGTACTCAAAGTCCAAGCAATCGATTGATCAACCCTCACAATGGCCTGGCAGAATAGGAAGTTGATAAAGGATATGTCTACATGGAAATTCACCTTCACGTTCAAAACGGAAGTTAGGTGAAGGCGATTCTTCTCCTCATGGACTGGTATCCGTGTGAAGCCTTTTTCAAGAATAGTCACCAATAGCTACAAGTGCGTTATTCTGACATCTCTTATGGATTCTTTCTTAAAACACTCCCTGCAACAAAATGCACCTTAACGTCTAACTTTTCATTTCCGCTTACGGCAAAAGTATCTTCCATCGGGGTCATCATGTCTTCTACGGTTTTCTTTGGAAAATCTGCTATTCTAGCGAGAATATCTGGAAAACAATCGATCAGCTTTGACCGGTGCTTAAGTCCACTAAAGTCGCTTAACCGGTGAGGAAGTGGTGGAGAAAGGCGCTGATTCCTATGAAATGAAATGCTACCTTGAGCTGCTTCTTCCATTTTCTTCGCCTGTACTTTGATGAGAGCTTTGAGTTTCTCCTCAGAGTAGATTTCCCTCACCTGAAGAATAGGTCGCAACTCTTTTATGCTTTTGCCTTTTTTAATTGCAATGCACTTTTTAATTACCTCTCTGCCCAGAAAGAAGTCAATCAGCTTGCTCAGTGGCCATGCTATGGGAGCGCAAATGACGAAAAGAATGAGCGTGACGTGACGAGTTTTTGCCGCCAACACCAGACCGAATCGGTTGCACACTGACTGTAACAGCTGGAGATAAATATTGAAATTTTTGAAATGAAGAAATAACTTCTTCGCACTAATGCAGCGCGTAGTGTAATCTATTTTCCTTATTTTATTAAGCATGAAAGACTCCTAGAGAGAATAAGTACCTTTCGCAAATCAATTCGACGATTTTTCTTCCCACTCTGTAAGAAGCTTAATCTTGTCGAGCTGTTGACTAATTACAAGCCGCAACTGCCCCAATCACGGTGATATACTCATTCATAAGTCTCAACAGCTCGGGAGCTACCTTTGTTTTCTATTTTGATGGTTACAACACAGTGGCTGTAATAATAACTGCCAACTGCAGAGTCAGGGTTTGGGAAATGGTCTCGATTCCACCACCCATTCCAATTCCCCTGAATCTAGCCTAAAATGCGGCACTTAAAGTTGTCCAAATTATTCTTCAGAGAAGTTGAAGGGGAAAAGATGGAGGCAGGAGCTAAGGTGAAAATAGAGGGAATTTAGCGGTGAGTAGCCTCTGCGGCAGGGTCATTCACATTAACGATTACTCAGAGCTCAACTTCGAATTTCTCCGAGATCCGCTTTCTTATTGCCTTTGGGCTTATTCTCATCTGTCCTGTGCACTAGACTTCCTTGAGTGATGCAGTGGTGCCCAAGACACTGATACCAATGACGATACTGCTCAGCTTCTTAGCAGAAACAAGTTCGAGCTGAGTTAGAATACGAAAACGTTACCCAAGTCAAACGACCAAAAGATCACTCGGATAAGTTCAATCTCCTTAAAAAAATAGGAGAATAAATTACCACTTGAAATCTACATACCTGTGGCAACATTTCTCCGAGTAAAACAATTAAGACTGTTGGCACGACGTACTTAAGTATTTCACCATACTTATGCTGAGATCGAGCAGAGCATTAAATTTATGAATAAAGAAACGAGTACAGAACTTTCCCTCCACTTACAGGCTCTACAAGGGCTGCAATTCCATTAGTGAAGATAGTGTTTACAAGAATATTCGCTAGAGCCATTGTGCATATCAACCAATTGGATTGCTTTCGGTATTTGATTATTTTCCGAGCGTGAGTCTTAAAAGGCAAAAAATAATTTGGAGACATAAAATGAACTACATAGTGCAGGAGTAGAAAGTTTTGACGAAAATTCCAATTCACTATCATTCCCGAGCTCATGCATCCTCTCATCACCGACTCCCTTTCAGTATTATCAGGTGAGCAAAAAACTAAATCCTTTCTTTGCCACTGTGGACGATTTGACTTCACACAGGCTCACAGGAAGTTTTGGGCGTTTCACTTACATTAGGAGCCATAGATAACTTTGGAACCTCACTATCGTTGTAAAATTACCCACAACACTTACCCTACAACAACCTGCAATTTGATGATGCTCAGAAGTGCGTCCATATTGGCTTACGACAAAAGAGTAAGGGTTGCTCGAGCTGCATGGGTTGAACTTCGTTTTTCGATGCTATGCTGATTACTTCCCCTGCACAACAGTGAAAAGGAGAGCAAAGCAACTCTTAAATCTGCCGAATCATCAGTAATATTATGAAAGATTCAGCAAAGGCTCAGCCAAGACCAACTGCATCAGAACTGTGCAAAAAGTTCTCAAAAAATGCTCGCGGTTGTTGCTGCTTTGCATTCCTATTTGACAGCGGCCCCGGTATAGCAGGCGATCAACTTTCATCTTAAGCTGGACAACGTGTCGTTCTGCTGAACAACCTTCAACAATATGGCCCAGACTTATTGATGAAAGTACTTAAGTATCATGGTCAACGAACCTTATGTGGCTCTTCTCCCGTCTCCGAAAGCAATGCCATATCGTTTATACTCATTCTCATGTAGGCGAAGTTCGCCCCTGAGCAGTAGGAAGAAATCACCAAAGTAGCTAAGCAAATGAGCACGATCACCCAAATAGGCAGGAAAAGATCGTTTTGTCCTTTGTCTCGTACTTGAAGCAACTGCAACAAATTACATCGATGAAGCTCTACGACGTGAACATCACTGAATCCAAATCAATGAAGAAACGCATTTGGCCGCACGATCTTCTGGACAATCACATTTTTCTCTGATCCTATGGGATTCCGTATATGACTTTATACGAAGTCTCCGACCCGTAGGGTTTAATTAGTGTCCTTGTAATGCGTAATTAAAATCCAGCACAATGTAAATTCAAATGCCATATCTGTTACTAATTTTACTTTTTTAAAAAATGCTTTTGAAGTCCTCTAGGTTTTCAACGCATGTTCTGGTTGATAAGATCAAATCCACAATCCCTACGAATTAGATTGAGCACTTTGTTGCTTCAAACCGAACCAGGGCCTGAGCGAGATTCATCATCACTGCGATGATATGATGCACTGAAGTATAACAGGATGGTCAGACTACAGTGTCGCCTACTACGCAGACTGGAAACTTTTCTGACGACCCTCCATGAGAGAGCCATTCTCTTGTCATCCATGTAAGCAAAATTAACAACAACTGGACACGACATTTTTCGGTTATCATCCTGCCCTCGTTGGTGAGCAAAGCTATGGATTTCTTAATCACCCTAGGAACATCACTGCTTTAT